CAGCAATCCTTTTTTTTTTTTTTTAAAAAAAACAACTTTATTGAAATTTGAAACTATGATCTTTTCCAGTAGAGGAGGGGTGGGGTGGGGGGGGGAAAGAAGAGGAATGTGCCAATCATTGGAGTGATTTATTTTATTTTACCTGCTTATATTTTAATAGTCATTCGTAGTACTTGTGATTACTGCCGCTCTGCTGTGCTGTAATGAAATATATTGTGCCGGTTTTGGTAGTTTTTAACAATCTGTGTTTAAAATGAAAATAAATGCTGTGGTATTACCTATAGATTTAAGTATTTACAATTCAGGGGCCACTCAGAATAAGTGCAATGAAAGCTTTTGGGAAGTCAGCAGAAGGTCTTGAATTACGACAGGGTTTTGCTGATAGATATTTCTACTATTGATTTCTTAGTTTTTCATAATTTTTGAAAAGAAAATGCAAGGTAAAATAAGGAGTTGAAAGGAAGCAAGATGTCTGATTTAATAACAATATTTGCACGACCCGAAATGATTTGGGTAGGAAATGTACTCCATGGGATAATTTAAAAAAAAAAAAAAAAAAAGTTAGTTTAGCTGAAAAATCCCCAATGTTGTCTCGCAAGGGTAGGCAGCGGGTGGCTTTTACCATGCTGGGGGAAACGTTGCACAAATTACTTTATTTTTCCCTCCTGGAGGGCCCAATTCTGAGCAAAGGAGGAACTCGGCCCCTGGCAGCAGGGACGTCCCCAGCACGCAGTGCTGGATCAGGCCCCCGCAGGCTATATACGTTTTTATGTGCAGCCTCGAGTTCGGTCATTCATTTATTCAGAGAAAAACAAGAAGCGTGTCCTCAGTATATTATAATACGTTTTGATCTCTCTGGCTGATTTCTGTAGTCCTTTTTGAGGATATATATTATTATTACTATTTTTAAGCAAAATTGGGGGGGTCTTTCTTGCGTGTTTTTTTTTGTTGTTGTTGTTGTCAGCATAATTTTAATCGTGATTATTTTTTGTGCCAAGGAAGAGGGGTGATATTTAACTCATCGTTACACAAAGCAAGCAGTGTCTCTGGATGGCCAAACTAACTTTTCAAGTGGGATACGAAAATACGACACAACATGTAAAGAAAAAATTAGTAATTCTTTGAGTATTTGCACGAGTCATGCTAAGGTTTTCTGTTAACGCATTTTTCAATATTTTTAAATTTATTTTTTTTATAGAAAGACTCAGAGTTTGGCTTGTTCTGATAGGCTTGAATATCAGATTTTTATTTTTTTCTTTTTGACTAAATGCAAACAAAACTTTTTAAAAAAAAAAAATTTGTCAGACTTGCTTTTTCTAAGGATTTTTTTAGCATTAGTTATTGTTGCACACGCGGGATAAATCGGCCGCGTTACTTTCTGCTCCCTTCACCGTTTAGGAAACGGAGAGAAAACCACCCTTCATTGTATTTGTATATGCAGCTATATTGGCATTTTACTATACTGCCTGCTGCTATTTCCAAATATATCTTAGGGAAAGTTTTACTATACTTTAGACTTCCCCATACAAACATTGATTGGCATCCAAATGTTTAGGATTTGCCAAATTGGCGGGCATACGCTGGCTACACCGCAAGCAGCGGGGTCAGGGAGAGAGCAAAGGGAGATACGCGCTCCGCAAGTGGACTTGCAGCAGGGTTTTTAGCTTTTAACTCATGCTAATTTTTTTTTTTCTTTTTTTTTTTTCCAAGAGATCTGGGGGTTGGGGAAAGGGCCCCATTGCTGCACCGTCTCCACCTGGGTGCTTGTTTGGAGTTGGACCCTGTTTTCGGCGGGTGGGAGCGGAGGTTTTGGGTCGGCGCGAGGTGATGTGGCGGTGGCGGGGCCTGTCGGCCAGGGGTACCAGTCCCGCAGCCCATAAAACCTATAAGCACCCTCCTAATTCTCACCATCCTGGCGAGCCTTAGCACCTCGCGCGAAAGCCCCGTTTCTGGAGGCTTTTTGTTGATGGTTTCGGTGACATCGACCCTTCTCTGTAACTTTTTCAGGATGAATTTCATCCCTTCATCGAAGCACTTCTGCCTCACGTCCGAGCGTTTGCGTACACGTGGTTCAACCTGCAAGCCCGAAAAAGAAAATACTTCAAAAAACATGAAAAACGCATGTCAAAAGAGGAAGAGAGAGCCGTGAAGGACGAACTGCTAAGTGAAAAACCCGAGGTAAAGCAAAAATGGGCATCCAGACTTCTGGCAAAGCTCCGGAAAGATATCAGGCCTGAATTTCGGGAGGATTTTGTTCTCACAGTCACAGGAAAAAAGCCTCCGTGTTGCGTTCTTTCCAATCCAGACCAGAAGGGCAAGATGAGAAGAATTGACTGCCTTCGCCAGGCAGATAAGGTCTGGAGGTTGGACCTTGTTATGGTGATTTTATTTAAAGGTATTCCGCTCGAAAGTACTGATGGCGAGCGCCTTGTAAAGTCCCCACAGTGCTCTAACCCCGGGCTGTGCGTACAGCCCCACCATATAGGAGTTTCTGTTAAGGAACTCGATTTATATTTGGCATACTTTGTGCACGCAGCAGGTAAGTGCCTTTCTATACCACCTTCTCCAACTTTTCGGTTTATCTCCGTGCCGGGTGCCGTTCCCCCGGCGGCAGCTGCATGAGCTGGGGAGGGAGCTGGGGATGTTGGTTATCACCCTCCCGGGGCAGTGAGGAGAGTGCCAAAACACCCTCCCTTTTCCCCCCCTTTTTTTTTTTTTTTTTTTTTCTTTTTTATTATAATCAATGGGCTTTTAAGGTGCAGCCATGTAAAAGCAGCTCTCGTTTTCCCGGGGTTAACGGCATTTTGGGCATCCTTCACATGTGTCATCATAAATGTTGTCCTAGGAGGCATCACAGCCGGACGTGGCTTCCTTTATCCTGATTTTGGGGGGAAAGCAGATTTTAATTTAAAAAAAAAAAAAAAGAAAGTTTGTTTATGTTATGCAAAAGTAGTCTGAGAGGACTAGAGGTGCCCAAGGCCTATGGGTCAGGAGTCCCAGGTATCCTCACCCCACGGGGGTGGGATGGGGAGTCTAAATCCCACAGGATTGGACTCGGAGGGAAAGGTAAAGACAGTCCCTCCGGTAGCAAATCTAGTCATCGGGTCTGAGCAGCCACAAAACAAACCGCCGGGTAATCCTGTGGGGAAAAGGAGGCAGTTAACCCCCCCCGAAATACCACAATTTACACACCTAGAAGCTGAGCAGGTCTTGAAACAAATTCCTCGTTTGATAGTATTGTGTTTGGGGGGGGGGGGCGCTGAGATTTTTTTTTGCGTGTGATGAAAATCTTGGGCTCTCTAAACTCCAGCACAAAGTACACCCTGCCCGCGGAGTGACTCGGTGTGCTCAGAGGATGTGTAGTGTGTTGACTGGATAAAATAATACGCTATTGTAGTTCTCCTGAGTGATTATATTGCAGAAAAATGTGCGCGTGTGAAGTGCTAGGCCCCGGTTTTCACGTATGGTATGCATAGGTCCCCTGGGTTTCAGCTTGACTTGCAAGTTGAGGAGCTGGACAGGCTGGGGAAAAAAAAAAAAAAAAGAGGAGCAGAGGGGAGAGGAGTCCTATTAGTGGAAACCACTTCTATATAAATATATATCAGTAAGAAAACCGAGCAAATTACAGCACCGGGGACCTGCGTTTCCAATGCCACCTTATTTCGGAGGGTCTCGCAGAAAGTTTTGGCTGCCCCAAAGTTTTTCTACGCTGAGTTCCCTGCACAGGAGTTGTTGCGACAGGCAGTGTTGCCTCTGCGATTTTTTTACGGGTGTGATCCCTGTTCGGAAATAACTTTCAAATATCCTCATGATATTTCCTACAGAAAAGCTGTGAAATTCACTTTGCACTTTGGTGTGATGTGGTAAATCATCCTGCACGTTTATGGCGAAGGGGAGGTAGGCAAATACTGTGGAAAATTATTTATTTACTCTGCGATTTATTATGGGGCACGGTGAAGGAAGGATGGCCAATTAATGGCTAACTGAAGGGAAATTCGGACTGGGGTGTTGCAGGTCCCCTCCCGTTCCGTCACTGGCCATGAGGGAGACCGGGGACTCGCATCCCTTTTGTCTGCCTCAGTTTCCTCCTCCGTATCTCGGAGCAGGATGATGCACATAAAGCGCTTGGGTATCCACGGCTGAAAACTGCTCTGTACTGCTGTATGACACACAGGTTTTTATTCTTTAAATTTATATGTAGCGTGGTGCTGGTAAATACTGGACTATATTGTGTTTCCTAAGTGAAAAGCAACCTTCTGCGGGGTGGAAAAGTTATTAACAGAAACCAACGGTCTTGGTTTAGCCTGTATGTTGGGTTACAGAAATGTAGGATGGGAAGAAAAGGACCAAAGCCAGGGGTGTAAGTGCTCCAGGAGCTTGGAGGGATCCCTCTCCCTGATAAGAGTCAGGCAATAGACATTATAAAAGTTCACTATTGTGATTAGGGATATACCATCTTATCAGCACGCTGTTGGCAAACAGTAGCCTTGATAGCGAACTCTTATTTATTTCTGCCTTCGTCGTCAACAGGCAGCAATTGCACTAATTGTTCTTCGGACTAGATGTTTGCCGCGGAAACTTAGCGTGAGGCTGAGGCTCGTTTTTTTGGGTTAGATTTGCGGTTTTGTGTAAGCAGCACCGCGCTCCTACCGACCGCACCGCTTCGTGTTTTCGGCCGTTGTTTGCTGATTGCACGCATCGCATTGTGCTCTTAATGCAGTAGCGTGTGCTGGCGTATTCCCTGCTAAACCTCACTGGGGAGGGGGACAAAATGATTTTTAGGTGGTAGCACAGTGTGGTCGCTGTCTATATCGCTTTCACGGAGGTGTACCGAAAGCCTCGCATATAGGCTACCTCTTTTTTTTTTTTTTTTTTCCCCTTTTTTTTCCCCCCTCCGATATATCCCAGCAGTCTTTGTTACACCTGAACATTGGCCAAGTTGACAGCCATTGGTTCCCGCAGACCCGCAGTAATGGCAGCTTGTGCCGGGTGCGCAACAGGAAAATTACAAAAGAAAAAAAATATTAAGGGTCCTTTGTCTCAAACTCCACCAGACCTCGCTCCCCAAATGTATGGACCGCTTATTTATAAGGAGGAAGTTGCCAGCGCAAATATTAGGTAGGCTGGTCAACTTACATATAGTGGATTTGACAAGCATCTGCTATAGTACAGAAGATTTGTAAACACTAAACAATGTTTTTACCTCCTTAAAAGTTTTGAGAAGTTGCCAGTATTGGCAGGAGGCACAGACTCCGAAACGTGCTTGAAGATACGTGCCAAAACCATTGTGACCTTTTCACCCATAGTGCTTGCTTCTCCTTTTCTTGTTTTTTTGTTGGTGTGGGTTTTTTTTTTCCTCCACTCTTCGTCTTCTTTTTTTTTGGGGGGTAGTATTCTCTTCCAAGATGCCCTTATTTGAGGTGACTTCAGCAGCGAGATGTCCCTTCTAAACATGTACAATAATTATTGCTTTGAATCCACGCTTTTTCTTCAGTAGGCACTATCATCTGTAAGGGAACACATGTGCACAGATTTAAATAGTGCTTCTTACAAAGCTACTGAAATCAATTCATCTCTTTAAGAACTGGCTAGAAAGAAAAAACAAAAATATGCAAATAGGCAAACTACATGTCATTTTTGGTTTAAAAAAAAAAAAGAGGGAAAAAAAATAAAAAAAAAAAAAAGGAAAGGAGGATCGGTGTTTTGTGAATTAGAGGTTGACCAAAAAATGTATTGAAATCTAGAGTATTGCTCTCAGTTTGCAGTTTCTAATCTGCTTAACTAAAAGCAGGCGGCATTTTCATACCCTGAACTTGGGTTCGCTTTTTAGTTTTCACTTATTCTGCGCTTGTATCAAATGACAAGTTGGAAACCATTGTGGCAAACCGTTTTCTTTGTGGGAGTCGAACAGTAAAGCTAATTTATGACCGGTCCTTTACCAGATGATCTGTATCAGAATCTACAATATACTAGGCACGTGGCAAGGTCACAATTTAAGTTGTTAAGGTCACAACCTTAGCCACCAGGCATTTGACCTTTTAGATAAAGTTAACCTTTGTTCATTAGTAGGCACTCAACCGAGAACTTTCTGGAGTTTTTTACTGCTTTGGAGTTCCTTCTGCTAATGTGATCAGATTGGAGAATAGATTCGCAATGGAAGTAGTTAAATTTTGTGAGAGGTCACAGATTTTAGAGACTTCTCCAGTAGACGAAGCTGGATGGCAAGCCAGGCGGTGATGCTGCAATGCCCGATTTATTTTTTTGGACGGCCATCGTTATGCGCTTCAGGCGAGAATTAAGCTAGCGAGGTATTTGTGGCAGAGAAAATCTTTTAATCTTTCAGAAGGACGTTTAAAAATCCCAAATGTAAGAAAAATTTGGGGATGGGGATTTTATTTACGTGAGCTCGTTTTTCCGTTTGCGTTTCGAATAGAAGCCAGCGAAGAGGCAAGATCTGTGACTGAAAATTTACTTCCCGTCTAAATATGCTCTATGGCTAATTGCCTGGGCAATAGTATATAACACATGACCTTGAACTTTAAGCAGACCCCTTTTACCATTGCCATCGGTGGGTTTAAAATATTTCTACTTGGACCACCGCAAAGACGCATTGATGGGAATAACCCAAAGATTGGTTAACGCAGGAAACGACTGCGGATAGCCAAAATACCCATGGAGGTCCCGGGAAGTCCGAAAGGTACACAAGGCTTTGCGCCGTAATCTTTTAGTACAATTGGTATTGATTGTTGCTGCATTAATCCTGTTAATAGCCGCAGCCGGTTCGGCGTGTTGCAGGGATGTGAGAGGTGTCCTGACAATACTGTACATCACCAAAAGAGCTGTCGCAGCGTCTTCAACTCCTGAGAGCTGCTTTGCAAAAGTGGAGCGTTCGACGGTGGAAACTATTGCCGGCTCATATAGAAACACACACCATATTGTTTACTTAATTATGCCGTAGCGAAGGCTCATTTTTAATTATTTAGCTGACTTTCTCACTTTGCTGTGATACCACATTTATTATTTAATTTAAAATCAAAAGGGCTGCGCTACTGTTAGTTTTTGATGCGTTTTACTTTTGTTTTGGCTACGTTATTGTCATTCCATCGTACAGCAATCCAGATAGCCGTGATATGCAGATTGGCCAGATGGTCATGTTAACAGATTGAGAACCCACTTCCCACTGCTAAAGAGCAGGTGTAAGATCAGTGGGCTTTTTTTTTTTTTTTTTTTCCTCCCTCCTTTCCTCCCAAGTTTCAACCAAAATGCTCTTTAGACAGCTCATAATGGTAGTTAAAAAGGGGCACATTTCAAATGGTGTGTGTTCTGTGGAGATAATATGTAATATATATGTCGTTTTTACACGTATCTGAAGACTTTTAAAGCATCCGTGACATTCCCTCCATATATAAGGCTTTTGAAAAGCTACTTCCAGCCCGTGGCTGCTCCAGCGTGCATCCGTAATGGTCCTTAAAGTTTTGTTTGCGATGTTAATAGTCCCTATGCATTTCTACAGACAGATTACATTTACTCTTACCAAAA